TACCTTGTGGCTAATAGCTACCGATGGACCTCTGCTCCATATGCTTATCTAATTCCCTCTTGAAGCCATCCATGCTTGTAGCCGCTACCACCTCCTGAGGCAGTGAATTCCATGTGTTAATCATTCTTTGGGTGAAGAAGTACTTCCTTTTATCTGTTCTAACCTGACTGCTCAGCAATTTCATCGAGTGCCCACGAGTTCTTGTATTGTGAGAAAGGGAGAAAAGTACCTCTTTCTCTACCTGCCCTATCTCATGCATAATCTTTCGATCATGTCACCCCTCAGCCATCGTTTCTACCATATCTACCACACCCCCTTGGGTCCCCTTGTCATGTGCCAACAATCCACTAGGTACATTGCAACAGTCTAGCCTCAATTTCTTATTGTCAATGGTAGTGATACATTGGGCTGGAGGGAACAGCAAGGTCGTGTAGTGCAGCAAGGAACACCTGCCCACCGGTAAGTTTCTACCATATCTACCACACCCCCTTGGGTCCCCTTGTCATGTGCCAACAATCCACTAGGTACATTGCAACAGTCTAGCCTCAATTTCTTATTGTCAATGGTAGTGATACATTGGGCTGGAGGGAACAGCAAGGTCGTGTAGTGCAGCAAGGAACACCTGCCCACCGGTAAACATACCCCTAGCCCCTCCCCTCAGATCAAGCTACACCATCCAGACCACAATGTGCCTGAAGCAAAGAGTGGGTGCACTGCAAAAATAGATTGAGATGGTTCATACTGCAAGCCAAGCCCCACACTGCAGGGGAACATCAAAGCACCGGGCTCACTGATCACTGGGGGGAAATTCCCAGCCCCAAATATAGTGATTAGTCAGATCATCAAGCAGTGCCGCAAGCAAAGTCTTAGTGCTATAACCCAGATCAGAAATGAAATTGGCTTAGGTTCAGAAAAAACATTTATGTTTCATTACCATAAATCACACACCTTTCAGGTGGCTCACGTCAAGGTATTTTCTTAATCTCAGCCAGGTTCTTTTTGGTATGTTTTTGCAAAAATGGCTCCAGAATATTAGTGGAACAACAGAGGTTGAAGTAAGGTTTATTTGATCCTTAGTCTTGGCAAGAGAATCCAAGCTAAGTTTGTGGGGCTATAAATTCAAGTAAGAGCTTTATAATGCTTGCGTGTGTGTTAGTTTTAGGAGATCACCTTTCTGCTTCCACAGGGAATGATCAGACAAACCAAGACATAGCCATTTTGCTTTGGCATTGTCTTATTATCTGATATATTATAATAGCAAGTAAGTTACAGGCAGAAGGGAGGGAAGGCAGAATGGTGTAGTCCAATCTTGTCAGATTTTGGAAGTTAAACAGGGTTGGTACTTGGAAGGGAGACCACCAAGGAAGACTCTGCAGAGGAAGAAGAAGAGGATATTGGATTTATAACCCACCCTTCACTACCCAAAGTAGTTGGCTTACAATCTCCTTTCCCTTCCTCTCCCCACAACGGACACCCTGTGAGGTAGGTGGGGCTGAGAGAGCTCTTTCGAGAATTGCTCATGAGGGAACAACTCTGAAAGAACTTGTAACTTGCAAGAAGCCAATGGCAAACCACCTCTACTTCTCACTTGCATTGAAAGCCCCTTTCTGGGGTTGCCATATGTCAGCTGCAGTTTGGCAGCACTTAACACACACGTTACAGGCAGACATTAAGGTGATGATATTTTTTCCTGTAAGAATGGTATTGAAGTGCTGTACTGTAAGCGTTTTAGCAGATGTATTGATATTTTACTCTTTTCCTTTTTATCTCCATAGTGGATATGAAGGCAGGGAACAGGCTGTATTGCAAATAAATTCTGCAAATCAATTACACGAAAATATCTTAATTTAGGGTGAAAAGGTGTACTTTGTGTGCTTTATCTGAGATCTGGTTTCTTGCAGTATTTAAAATGTTTGGCAAAGGACTGCATGAGGAAAAGTATGGATGACCAAAAAGAACATAACTAAAGGTCATGCATTGCACACAAGCTCCACACCTACTCATTCCCTGGGCTGCTGGCACTTATTGCTTCTACTCCTTCAAATCTGTCTCTACAATCTCAAAACATAATTTTAAAAGAAAAGCTTTGCTTTTTAGAAATTCAAAAGTATTAGATGCTGCATGGCATTCTGTAAGCATAACATCTGAGGATGGAGCATAACTCAACAGTAGTAGAGTGAATGTTTTGCATGAAGAAGATTTCATGTTCAGTCTCTGGGATCACAGTCAGAATCAGAAATGATCTCAGGATCCTATTCTCTGC